AACTTGGACAACGTGTTTTCCACCCCCTCATCCAAGTCACTGATGAAGATGTTGAACAGCGTGGGCCCCAGAACTGATCCCTGGGGGACCCCACTGTTCACATCCCGCCAGGTGGAGTATGACCCATCCACCACCACTCTCTGGGTGTGCCCCATCAGCCAATTTCTGACCCGTCCAACTGTGTAGGCATCAATGTTAGAGTCACTCAATTTATTAATGAGAATGGGGTGAGAGACAGTGTCAAAGGCCTTCTTTCCACGGCAACACCATCATCCAGGGATTTAGTTACCTGGTCATAAAAGGCCATCAGGTTGGTCTGGCAGGACCTGCCTTTGATGAACCCATGTTGATTTCCTCTGGGCATGATCTCCCCTGCTGGCCCCTCACAGATGTGATCCTTGATAATTATTTCAAGGATTTTCCCCAAGACTGATGTGAGACTTATGGGCCTATAGGTTCCTGGGTCCTCCTTTCTCCCTTTCTTATAAATGCAGACCACATTAGCTAGTTTCCAATCTCCTGTGGACCATGATTGCTTGTACAGCCGGGCCAAGGGCACAGCAATGACCCCTGCCAGCTTTCTCAGCACCCGTGGGTGGAGGGCATCAGGGCTCGCAGATTTAAAAACATCCAGCCCCTCCAGAAGATCCCTGACTACATCTGCACAGACCTGAGGCCTGGCAGTGCTATCCCCAAGATTGCCCCTACCTGTGGTGGGAGAGCTGTCCTGGTCCCTGGGGATTGGGGCCCAGGGCCACAATGCACAGCCGCAGGGTCCCAGCAGGGAGTGGTATGGGGCCACAGGCAACTCGTCTGAGGGGTGAGGGAGGTGGGGCAGCTTTCTTGCGTGGCCTTGCTGTGTCCTGCAGTGCCAGGTCACACCCACCAGGCTATGGAGGCCCCAGGGGAGGGCAGCAGGGTGGGAGCCTGAGCCCATGGTGGGCAGCCTGACCTGCCACCACCCCATGCACTGATCTGGAGGGCATGGGTCCCCCCTGCCTTCCTAGGGGTGCGCACAGTGGTGGGGAGCTGACCCCTCCCCACCTGAGCCCCCAGCAGGCAAATGGGGTGGGGGGAGTGAGGAGAAGCTAGGCTTTGTTCTGCTGCAGCAGTTGCCACCTCCTGCCAGGGGCAGGGGGCTGCAGACCTGGGGCCCTGGCCCTATAGCCCTGGCAGCTGGGGGCCCCCTCAGGCAGGGATGGGGGGCAGGGGCTGTGGGTGCGGGGCGAGGGGCACAAGCAGAGTTGTGGGGAGTGAGGGGCCAGCAGGGGTGGGGAGCTGTGCGGGGCCTTTTATTTTAATCATGAATTTTGGGGGTTTTATCAGAGAATTTTCACCAGGATCCCTGCTTATGACTCAAGTCATCAATGAGCCACAATAGAAATCATTTTCAAGTTGAGGGATTGCTGCCACTGCCACTGCTGATCTTTTTGGTTAGTCACCAGTACATACTATCTTTACTCCAAAGTCTACTCTGGAATGGACAACCATAACTAGGCTACTTTGGCTTTTTGCTCTGTAGCTGTAGCAACCTACTGGTGAGCGAATGTGTTATATGACCTGTTTGTACTCAAACCACAGAGGATAAGAATTGTTACAGCTCCCTGCTGGAGAGGCATGTAGCAACTCATGCTGTTTGCTCTGGCAGTCCCCAACTGAATCAGCAAAGAGGGCAGTTACCAGTGAAGCTCTACTGACTTCAATAGCATTATGTCACTTTACACCAGCTGATGACCTGGCCTCCTACCACTAACACTTAATGATATAGCTAGTTAGATATTTTAATTCACTGTATAAATATTAACACTCCTCAGACTGCTCTGAAGAAGGTAAACAAATATTAGTACCATTTCACAGATGAGGAAACCAAATCATATAGAAGCTATTCCCATTACAGATATTACAATAGCTTCTGGGATCTGAGTTCTTGATTGGGGCTCCTGTGGTTCAAAGTGCTTTACAAAGATAGAGTGAAAACACTGTGCCTGTTCTAAACTTGAAATCCTCTTAAGTGATTCCTCTCAGGTGAGGCAGCCACACAATATGTCCATGCACAGCTGATCTCACAATCAAGAACCATCTGATTCTGATCCCATATTCAATCCATATAATGTTTCTCACAACATACAAATTACATACCAAATTGTAATAATTTGTATAGCAGTACACAGTACTTACTTGCCCTGTTGCTGAAGCACACAGGAGAAGATGGATATCCCAATCATCAGTCCAAAACCTTTCACAGGGATTGTGTGCAAGTCCTCACTAATAGGAATGACAAAGCAATGTAATGGGATGTGAAAAACAAGGAAGTTAACTGGCCTTTAGGTATACATGCATATAATACAAAGCTACACATATATACAAGCATTTAGAGAATGGGAATGGGAAGTTCCATGCATCAGAATCCCACCCAGGTAAGGGAAAGGCCTTGTGAAAATGAGCACAGGACAATTCCCAGTTTAAGGCAGGGGTGAATTGTATTATACTTCCCTAGCTAGCCAGAATTTAGCCCCAAGTCATTAAGATTAATACAGTATAGATTAGTGGAAGATAAACAAAGGGGCCAAATTAAGGTTGTACTGGGAATCATAATTTTTAATTTCCTGATGTTTGTGTTTACAAAATTTCAGCCAGAACAGGCATGATTTTGCTATATACAATTAGTGGAAAACTACCAGAAAGAGCACTGAACTATGGAAAAACATTGCCCTTTCAGGAGTTAAATCATTATAAGCTATAACTCTGAAAAGGTATCTGGGGTAGTATGCAAAGATGACATTATGTTTTGGGAACATACAGCAGTTGTGCTTACATTTTTCAGGTTTGGCTTTGAAAACTATATAATGCCACCTCAGTGTGCAGCATTCCCAATACTCCCATATGTGGTATATAGGAAAATGCCACAAGTGCTTAAGTTTTTAGACTGTGAGCTCTTAGGAACAGGGACCAAAGGTTCTTATGTATGTGCATATTAAGGGTGCTACTAAAAACAAATTAAATAAACCCAAAACAAATAAAAGACACCCTAAAAGATGTTAAGTACAATCCCTGTGCATAGAAAGTCCCTGCATGCAGTAAATATTGTGGTACTTTCTTGTTCTCTCATTTGCTTCAGCAGCTGCATCATACTACTATTATAGACTCTGCAATGAAGTTCAAAATGCCTCACCTTTAAACCAGCTGTACCCTCCTTCTTTCGTTCAGCCCTTTAATCTCTTTTTATTTACTCTCAAGGCAATTTATGCAAGTGCAACACAGCTACAGCACAATCAAGTTAGCTGTAGTGAATGGAGCACAGGGTAGTGGTGAATTCCATTCCAAAATCATTTTGAATTCTAACAGCTCCATTTAAGGGATAATGATGGGAGCTCAGGGCATTTCTTCAGGATTAATCACCGGCTGGGTGAGATGATAGCCCAAGGCAAAGCCATGGGCCATTAACCCCTGCAGGTCACTTTATCCCCACAGGAAATGCACTGGGTCAAGTTCATTGTTGCTATTATAAACTCTTATAGGAGAAAAAAAAGGTTGAACTTAAATGTTTATATATGTTTTCGATCCCTGCATTTGTAGTGTTTGTGGATGGCTTTTGGCAATGCCTGTATATTGTACCACAGAGAGATGTAAAAACAAGTCCTATTGTTATCTTTGATACCAAAGACACAATAAATGGATTTTTTATTTGTTTATAGGGAAGCATTTAAGGCTGTCAGTAATGGAATGAAAAATCAAACAAGAGAAAGAGAAAGAAACAACAGAAGACATATAGGGCCAGATCCCCCTCTGGTGTAAATCAGCCTATTTCTTCTGAATCCAATGGAATGACACTATCAGACTCAAAGTCTTTTTTCCAACTACTCAGTTGGTCTAATAAAAGATATCACATCTACCCAAAGAACCTTGCTTGCATTTTTTGCTAAAAGACATTCAAGCATTTGCCAGTCTGGCATGGAGCAGAGACACAGTGGGCATCACTTATAAATACCAATTTCAAACTAATGCTACATGGGATTTCTGAGAATTGCATTTAAAAATAGGGCACAGAAATATTTTACATTATTTTCTCTCCCGTACTTAATGGCTCAGTCCTGCAAACGTTAACCCACCCTAATAATTTATTTTCATTCAACTACAGCTTGGGCTTCCAAGAAACTACATACATGAACAAAAGTCTGGCGGTTTGAAACCTACAGGTGTGAGCAGCATGCAGGAGTGTGGATTTTGCTGACTGTGATGAGATTATCTTTGTGCTGACATAAGCCTAAACTATAAAGTTCAGATCTGGATTCAGATCCAGACTCCCACAAGTATCAAGAAATTCAAATATAGGACGTATGTCAGCCCAATACTGAGAGAAGGACAGCAGGGGAGTTCAGATCAGCACTATCTTTACAATTTTTATGCCTGCTGGGCCCCTAATTAAAAATGCAAAGAAAAAGTTCAGCTTTAATTTTAAAAATAGTAACTTCTTAGTAGCCCTCTTTTTGTGAAAGAAAATAGCTGGGAGTGAAAAGAGCAATCAGGTATGATTAAGCAGGCAGTAGGAGGCTGAGGCAGGGGTGTTTAGACAGGAAAGACAGAATTCAGAAGAGCGGGGTGACCTTGGGCCAGTCACTGACAGCTAGATGCAGTGAAGATTCAGGTGCTTACAAGTAATACCTAAGCAACACCAAATTTATAGGTGCCCAGCCCTACAGCTTACAATCAACAAACTTGTGTTAGGCCCCTATGCTCTGTATAACAGTGCACTGGGGAGACTTGGTTCCTCAGGATGAGATCCTGAGCAAGCTGAGCAGAGAGTTACATCCAGTCAGCATGCTCACTTTGCACTCCCTAGAGCTAGCCAAACAGGGAACACTGAGGAGAGAGGTGTGTCCAACCTAAATCCCATACCTTTCCCTAGCCCAGGTGCCCCACTTGCAGACAGTCATCCATATCCACTTAGAATCCCCAACTTGGAATGCATTCCTGAGGGAAAGGACCATTTTTTAAAGACAGACAGTGATGGCAGCAAACCCCCTTTCATATATCAGTTTAATGGTGAGAACACTCACCCCCCACCACCCTCAGCCTAAGGAGGTTCAAGCCCAGGAGGAAACCCTAACCTCCAGACTATAGGTTATTCTGGATACAGGTACATGCCACTCCTCCTCCTGAAATTGTACTAAGGTACAGAAAACAACTGAAGATTAACTGGGCCAGAGAGAGAAAGCAAGAAGGAGCATGACTATGTAGCTTAGGGGTTAAGACACTCATTGTAGTGAGAAAACTCCTGGGTTCCAGCAACTGCTCACAGGACTATTTCTAATATTGCCTCCAATGACTGTTTAATATATAAAGTGCACAAATAACCCTTGGAGCCAGGACAGGAGCAAAGAGACAGGGTTTTGGAGGAGAATTCAGAGAAGCCAGGCAGAGACTGGGACATGAAGTTGTGGTGAGGCCATTGTAATTGGATGGAAAGATGACTGGATCTGGGCCAGCGCAGGGGAGAGAAAGATATCAGATAAGTAGCCAGCCAGTGGGGAACTGGTACCGACTAGTCTTCAAACCAGGGGTGGACAATTATTTTGCGTGGAGGGCCACTTACTGAGTTTTGGCAAGCCATGGAGGGCCGCATGACAGGCAGCTAGGTGCAGATAACTATTATTTTTTAAATTTTTTTAGGCGCCCCGTGGGCCAGATAGAATGGCCTGGCGGGCTTCATCTGGCCCGTGGGCCGCATTTTGCCCACCTCTGCTTCAGACTATAATGGGCATTGAGGAGGAGATTTTGACAGAGTACACGGGGATGAGACTGAATTACTGAGTAAGGAAACTGGGACTAGGGTGAGGAGCTTATGAAGAAGGGACTGAACCAAAGAGCCAGGCAATATGATGCCAAACTTTTAAGTGCTTACATGCCATTATTGGTTCTTTCTCTCTCAGTGTCTAAATTGAGATGTTGGGGCATGATTTGCAAAAATGCTGAAAACTCACAACCACAACTGAAGCCAATGGGAGCTGTATTTTATACATATGATGAAGTGCTAAGTACTCTGTAAAATCAGGTCATAGTTGTCTCAGACTGGGCATATAGAGGTAGAAGATCTTTTTTATCTTAATTTCTTTGTGCCTCTGTTCTTGTGAAACCAGCACGACACTGTCTCAAAACCTCACCAGGGTATTCTAAAAATATATTAATTAACACTTATGAAGCACTCAGATACTGTTAGAAGGAGCCCTCCAGAAATGCTTAAGGTTTTTTTAGAACAAGGTTTTAATAGTGACTAGTAAACAAGTCATAAGGCCATGCACTGAGCAACAAGGAGAAAACCCTTGTTGTACCCTGAATGAGGAAAGGGGTCCTGTGACAGAAATGTATAACTGTTGCACAGCTGACCGTTAAGAAATTCATATGGTATTTCTTAACCCATGAGTTCTTAACTTTGCAACCTTAAGGTTCTTTTAATGAAATTTTTTGGATGTGATATGTATATGCATTTTAAACATAGTGTAATAAACTATGAATTAAATGTAATTACAGTAGCTGTCACCTAATGGGAAACTTTTTGTTTCATTGTTAATTGACTAAAAGGATTTTCAAATGCTGAATAGAAAACTTTGGCATCAATATTTAATAAAATACTGTAATAAGATGCTAATCATCTTATGAGATTAAGCGCTATGTTTTGGATCATATGATATGATGATTAAGTATACAACTACTAATGCCAATTACTTTCTAATTAAATCCTAAACCAACATTAAAATAATGTGAAGGCATGGTTTAAAACAAAAAAAAACCTAACAAATATGCTGATACCCCTTCCTTGTTCATGTTATTGCGAGAAAAAGCTCCATATCTGAGAGAAGGACAATCTTTTGTCCATAAACGTAACTCCCGAGAATATATAGCCTAATCTAAGTCAGATTTTTAAAGGAAAACTCCATCTATTTAATCAACAGAAAGTTCCAATGTGAAGGTCAGAAAGAGACATGCATGGCTATGCACAGTGAGAAGGTAGGGTGCAGGGGGTCTTCTGTCACATGAGATCCTAAAGTTGAATGCCAGAAGCTGCCACTTGTGGCACTGAACACCCCAAAGCAAGTAGGAGGGAAACTGTTTAGGTGCCACATTCTGTCATCTATTTTGGCTCCTCTGTGTTATTCCTACTGCATACAGAAACATTACAGGAGCTGCAACAGGCTACAATAGAATTTGTACAGCACAAAGACATAGGGCTGCACATACATTTTGGGCATGTATAGTGATACC